CAGTCAACATGTTAAAGTACATTTAATAGGATTAATATTAATCGGATGTATTTTAATATTTACATCTGATTTATTGTATAGTTTTTGAATTTACATGTGTAGTGTTTTTTCATCTCTTCCAATTTTTCCTATTGTTCTGTATATTCCAAGTTTTTGTAATTCAAGATAGTCTCAGTCCCATTCACTTTGAATTATTAGGACTCTACTGTACTTATTTTACTAGAAATGACTGTTGTTATTTGTATCAATTTAAAATATTACCCTTTATTACTTTACTTTAAATAATTCTTTTAATCTAAAACTTATTTATAGTTCATTTGCTTAATGCTCAAGTAATTTTATTTCAATGCTCTCATCTTAATAACAGATAAATAAAAATATCCAATGTACTGTGTATCCATTATCATTACAGATTCATTTCAAAAGTGGACTTTGCTGCAATACACCTGACCTCAGCCATTAGCTCTAGTCCAAATTCATAGATCAGCTTACAACTCTCCTTCATGACCTCAACTCAGTTCATTATTTCCAAGTAGCTGAACTTTGCTGAACTATAGTGGGAAAAGATATCAAGGAACTCTCACAAACATTGCATACAAAATGTGTTTGACTGTCCAGGCCACCAGCCAAGGTAACCGCTTCCAGTGAGCAATGTATTGTGTGCAGCACAGCAGTCCTGTTTTTAACATTGCCTACTGGAGTAACAACATATTCCTGATCCTATGTTGTCTGACAAAAACAGTTCATTTGTCTACTTCTACTACCCCTTCAAATTAATGCATGGGCTTTAAAATCACTTTGTATGGTTTTGTTTATCAGCATTATAATTATCATTATTTTCAGATAAACACTGAAACTTGTAAGCTGTTTTCTTACTCAATCAACATAGAGCTAATAATTTTCAATCATTATCAATGCTTTAAGTGTTAAGCATTTATTGTTTTAATCATTATTTACTTGCAGTACAATAGTTTAAATCACTGATATTACAATACTTCAATTATATGCTAACCTTTGTTAAAAATGGTAATACAAAAAAAGCAGTAGGTAAACAATGTAGGATGAACTTCTATTTATTAAGAATAACTATAATTAATAAATCTTCAAGTTACATATTTTTTAATTGTTTTAATATGTCCTTTTAATGTCATACTCAATAAAACCAGAACTATTCTTATTTATTTACCTAGCTTCATGTTGTTGTCCAATTATTATCAGTACAAGAAAGTTCTAAAATGATTAAAATATGTAGACTCTACTTTACCTTATTTTCAATATAAAATATGCATTTAGAAAAATATTTAGAAAAAATTTCAATAAAAGTTTAGATATTTACAATTTTAATAAAACCTTGAAATAATAATAATAACTTACATTAATAATGACTGTAATTTATACGAAACATCAAATGAACATATGGATTCTTTTATCAGGCTATTAAGGCTAAATAATTACTAAGTAATTTCGCAGCAGGTAATTTATACAAAACATCTGATAATTATATGATTTAAAGTTTCATTGTATAATGTAATATAAAATTTATTTTTTTTTAAAACGAGTAAATAAACAGAAAGAATTGCTAAATATGATAACATAAATAAGTACAGGGTGATTAAAAATCAAAGATATTTTAAAAAATTAATAACTCACAAACTATTTATAGTAAGATGATGCAGTTTTCACAGAAATGCTTACAAAGAAGTGGAATTTTTTATGTGTAATAAAAATTTTAGTACCAAAATAGTTACATTTCTTGCCATAGATAGTACTTGATAAGATTACATAATTTGTATAGTTGTTATTAGAGCTTACACTAAGAACATTTTTATTTTTTATTCTTATTTTAACAAATTTACAAATGCTACAGTGCCATTTATGGCATGATGTGTAACTATTTTGGTACTAAAATTTTTATTATACCTAAAAAATCCCACTTTTTTCTGTGAAAACCGCATCAATCTTACTGTAAATAGTTTGTGAGTTATAAATTTTTTAAAATTTCTGTGACTTTTGAATCACCCTGTACATTGGATACATATAAAACAGTTAATAGTTTCTAACATAAAGTCTCATATATAATTTAACTATCATCCTATTGGAATAATATATAACTGTTTGATAATAAATTATAAAGTTATTAAGCTAAATTATTAAGTTATAAATAGTTCATCATATAATTCAAATTTCCAATTACTAAACAAAATATTTTATAATTAGATATGTTAAAATTTCTTTCTATATAATAATAGAATATACAGAAATAAAAAGTTACATATTCAAAAGATACCAATATAACTATATTATTTAATAAAATTAAAGTTAAGATATTTTTAATATAAATAACTTTTTTAGAAAAATCAAATATTTTTCATTGATCATAAAATTTTAAAAACAGAAAAATTATACATCAATTTTTCAATTAAGTTTTAGGTTTGCTTGTTAGTTCAAAATTCAAGGGACAAGACGAAATAATTATAATTCTGAATTATTGTGTGTCAAATTATCCAAGATTTACACATTTCTGTACAATATACCAAATGCCATGTAATTGATGAAATTTATTAAGAAAATGAAATATGGGTATGTATACAAAATACTATTTTCATTAATTAATAATCAATAATATTAATATAAATAAACTGGAGATAAACCCCACATATCTGGTGAGAACCTTATAGGTTGCCAGATATATTTTATAAAAAGTAAAGCAGAATTCCTCAAAATGAAGCCTAATTATTTTTAAAGTGGCCCAAAAACTAGAAAGTTGCCCAAATGTATAGCCTAGAAATATCTCAATCTGCTACTTGTGCCCAATCTTGCAAGCTCAAAACCCAGCCATATTTTATGAGATAAGAGAAAAAAAGGTAGTTCATGGTTAAGGTGACACCCAAAATATGTCACTGTAAAAGCAAAGCCATATTGATCAGATTAGATTTTTCTTGTTTGATCATTCTTACAGTATGGAGCACTTTGATCTAAACAAACAAGTTAACATAAACTTATCAAGTTCAGACAGAATTTTCACTTCAAATTTTGAAGTAGCCTTATTTCAAACTAATCAAATTCCTTAACATGTAAATCTCTGTATCCCTGGCTGGAACAAATAATACAGTTATGAACTAATGGGATTTGAAACTGAGTTCAAACTAATAAGGATTTCCTGTATTTTATAAAATAGATAGATTGTTTTCCTATAAATCTTTTTTTTTTATTTTAAAATTTTATGAAATTTATATTATATTTAATTTAAAAGTATTGTATTTAGTAACAAATATACAAAAGAAAAATTTTATAACAGGAAAAATAAATATTTAAAAATATATTGAAAAATTAAAAATATAGATATAATAAATAAAAAGCAAAACTATTAAATAGATTAAATATAGTAGAGGGGGAAAACAGAAAAAATTACTGAAAATTAATAATAATATTAAGCAATTATTTATTGTGACATCGTCAAAATGCCAGGCTGCAATTTTTAATCATTTTTAATTTATTTAATTTAAAATATATATGCTTGCCACCTCAAATTACTAGTGTCTTGCCCCTGTACATCATACTTTCCGGCTAGCAATTGAGTCATGCCAGTTATCTATCTAACTCCTTTCAGGGAAAATTTTTGAATTGAAATAACAGGACTTCCAGTTTGCATCAGAAGTTCACATATAGTTAATCAGGGCCTCTTGCCCCCAAGCTTTCCATATCTAGTCTTGACTCTCATCTATCTAACACAGTTCTCGAAATTAATTAAGGAAGGACAGACAGACAAATGGACAACAGTGGGGAATTTATAGGTCTACAATTTTTTCAAATTGCAGTCCAATAATAATAATAAAAATAAAAGGATAAATGTAAAGTTTGCCAAAATCCAAAATAAAATAAAAGTAATAAAAATCAGAAAAAGGCATGTACATGTACCTACTATAAATCATAAATATTCTTATTTTCAAGTCATTCATTTGCTAAATATATTTGAGAATGTAATTGATACCTATTATCTAGCAATGAATAATGAAAATATAACTTTAGTATTAATATTATAATTGTATAGATGAAAACTTATATACTTTATAAAATTAAACAATTACTAAATAAGCCAAAGTATGTGTTCAGTTCAAGAAGTAAGAATATCTTTTTGACAAGCATTTGACTATCCCCAGCTTACAATCATTCAATCAACAGATTAGAATAAAGTAGAACATATGAATTAAATACATCGTTGTAATCTGTTGATTAAGTACTTGTAAGCTGAGAATAGTTAAATATTTGGCCAAAAAGATTCCTTGATTCCTTCCATTAAAGCAAGAAGTTATTTTATTTTATTTATCAACAGAGTTTCAAAATACTATAAAATATAAATTAGTTGAAAAATTTTACTTAAAATGACTTTATATATATATTATATTGAATCATAATTAAAAATTTCTTTTATTTCACAATTTAACCTTTTCAATAAGTTTAATTCACAAAAAATGGTAACTTTATAAATTTATTATATCCAACTTTCAAATATTACATTTAATTATTGAATTTAGCATTTGCAAGATAAAAAAAAACAGATTCTGTTTCTGGAATTGAAAAAAAACTATAATTTTAAACTTGAAATGATGAAATTTAATTGATGATAAAAGGAAATAAAATGAACTACCATATGTCAAAATAGATATTGTTACTATATAATTACTTTCTAAAAAGATAAAAATTTTTTGCATATTTATTATCATTAGAATCAAAACATTAATATCAAATTTAGATGTTTTAATGGATTTTTCTTTTGAATAAATAGATGCATAAAATTCTAGAAATAATTTTAATTTGATACAAACTGATAATAGTGGTCATCATTATCATTACTATATAATATAATAATGACTATAATTATATCTTTTATACAATAGATACTTTTTAATAGTCAACATAAACATCAATAACATGACAAAATCTAAATACTTTATTTTATATACTATATATTTTAGTATTAACTGTTCATTGAAGGTTACCTGTCTTCTTTTTTTAACTTCTTCCACATGTGACTTATCATGTGCCAGATTTGGATCTAAACGGGCTCTTTTGCATAGCTCTTCATCACAAGTTTTGGTATAACATTGAGATCTAAAATTAAAATAACATTTTATTAAATTATATGTCTGATTATTAAATATATTACTTTTGCCTATTTTATAAAACCAAAATTCAAATTTCTTTTAATTCCAAATTTTTTGTTATAATACAGAAAATTCAGAATTAAAAGAAATTTGAGTAATAGTGTTATACTTGTAGATTTATATTAATATTATGTTAACAAGTGACTGTAAAAAATCGATGAAATTCAGTTTAATCTGATTTTCAAATTTGTTAATTTTTCACATTAATTAAACAATCAAAAGATCTAATTAGAATGTGACATTTCCTCATTAAAAGGATTAACAATCAACATGTAATTTGGCTTTTCTATTTTGCTCTAATAGTTTTTTATAGAGAACTATTTGTTTCAAGTTCCTTGAAAAATTTAACAACAAATTCCCTATAATCACAATTTGAGTTATTGTTCTAACTTTTAATCAATCATAAATATTATTAAATAATTTCTTAACATGTAAATATATCATAAATCTAAATCATCAAATGATTTTTATACATTTTAAACTGATTTAAACAAAAAATCTGACTTAGATATTGTTACTATATAATTATTGTACTATATATATAAAATGGCTGTAATGCCATTGTCTTGTGCTAAAATTAAAAATTAGAATTAATTTGAAAAATTCTGAGTGTATTCACTCAGAATTTTTCAAATGTCAAATAGGTCAATGTAGAGCATGTCTTTAACCCACAATTTTTGCTTACCAAGCAGATGTAGTATTAGTTTGGCTATACAGCCATTCATATGGTCTTTGCTTTCAGATGTAGGCCTATATTAATTTAGATATATAGATATATATACACATACATACATATATACATAAATGTATATGTATATACACACTATGCAGACACGTAGGCAATGAATGAATTCTGTACCTTATATTTTATATTTATGTAAATATATAAAATTTCAAGCATACAAATATACAGGTAGTCTTTAATTTACAAACAAGATCCATTTCTGGGGATTGTTCATTCATTATACATTTTTGCTTACTATTTGTTAAACTCTTTTAATTACTTAAGAAGACTGAAATAATTCCAAAATTAAAAGAGCATTTCGTACATTACCACTAATATAGATTTCTTTTTAAGCTTGTGATAAATTCGTTAATTTTTAAATCAAATCAACAAATGCAGAATTATATTAATGATATTTATGAAAACACCAGCAGATGTTAGTAGCCATTCAACTGTATAACTGATGATTGTGGAAGATCAATTAGATATGTTCTTTGTATATGATTTTTTTTATTATCAGTAAACTTTCACAAACACTAAAATTAACAATCTATATGAATTATCAACATTTCATTTACATTAAGTTATAAAGGCTTCAAAGAAGTGTACAATGTAAAATTTATATATTATTTTTATATTATTTTACAATATGGTAAAATTTAATATAAGATTTCAGTTTCATCTCAAAACAAATTTTTCCAATGAATATAATAAATTTTATTAAAGTTTATCACAAAATATTTCAAGATTCAGATGAATTAAGCAAAACATTTTTTTAAATGTTTTGTTTGATTCATCTGAATCTTATATTATTTTAAAATATTACATTGTATCTTATATAATATTCAAAGAAGCACTATTCCTTTCAGTAGTACAGCCAAAAATTTAGCAACTAAAATAATTTAGTATCAAACTGCAATACAAAAATATGCAAATTAGTGTTATGACATTGTATATGATTGCGAGTAAATCTATTATATCAGGGGTGGCCAACAAGTCAATCACGAAGCCAATTTTGGTCGATCACTCGCGATGTGTTGAATTAATGTGTTACACTCGAAACCAAACGTAACGCGCAAACGAAATGTAGTGATATTGGACCACCGCATCCTCCCTCAGATGCGGTTTTGTCGGTCCATGTGCTATTCATTTGCATACAGTTGTAAAAGGGGAATAAGAAATGTAGACAAAGGATCGTAAAACCAAAAAACAAAAAGGTGGGAAGAGGGACAGAGAGACTGGTCGGGACATGGTAGAAAGAGGAAGGGTGAAGTGGTGGTCCCCGAAAGTGACAATGTTGAGTTTCAATTTTTTTTCTGTTTACAATGTAAGTATTTTTTCTTCATGTTTTAAATTAAATTGTGGTTTTTCTTAGCTATCTAAACATAGTATATATTTCACACCATCCCCTCGCCACTTAGACTATCCTTACGACAACAAGTCGATCGCGACACATTTTTAAGATAAAAAGTAGATCTTATGTACACAAAAGTTGGCCACCCCTGTATTATATAAATANGCCGCACCCTGTACACATTAATAATTATTGCATTGAATAACTCACACCTCTCATTTCACGTTACAAAGAAGATCACGCAAAGGATCCTTTCGAGTCCTTACCATCACAAAAATCCAATCATAGCTACACATAGCTTCACAGAGACAATGAAGATCAGATAATCTAATCTAAGAAAGTGTTTAGGTTTTTGGCTCGTATCCTTTTACTCGATCGTCATCTATTTTGAAATTCAGCGCATTCGTTTATCATATTGCAGTCAAATTAATACCTGAATGTAGCCTTTTATACGCTATGCTCTTATTTAAATATTTTTGTCTCTATCTATAGACCCGCATTCACTCTATATCTGTCGACCCCATATTCGTGAAGTGATAAACTAACGAACTAATCCATCCGTACAACAGATGAATATCCAAAATGTAACGTGCTCATTGTCTGCTCGTCACTTGTTTTGTCAATTTAATAGCTTTCACATATCGCAACTCATACAACGCTATTGTCTAGAATATTTTTGTTTGTTTATTTACTTTTTTTGAGCTGTCTGCCTGCTGTCTGATAGGCCTACATTGGACTTCAACCATCAGCTACTTGACCACGGGTCGACGCGTTCTATTGCTCAAGCGAGAATCTCAGTCGCGTGCTGAGTGCTGACAGGAAGAGATGTCAAGGATTCGGACAACTAACTATTTTTAATGACTTTCTCTATAACAAAAAACTATCAAACTACCCTATACAAAGATCATTTTTATTATCTAATTCTAATATATATATATATTAGATGCTTTCTAACAGCTTGTTTCTACTCAAAACCATTTAACAAAACACATTGGCATAGAATCGATTCAGTACAGCTGAATGAAAGAAAATGAAACAGCTACTCTGTCTATCAGAGACAATTTGTTACTGTAAGGTGTCTGAGTTAAGAGGCAATTAATAACAGAGTAGCTAAGATTGATGTTCGATGTTGTAAAATACCTTTCTTCCTAATTAACATTTTCCTAGAAGGTTTTTAAAAAATCGACAATACCGAAACGTCATCATTGTCAAAAACTACTCACCTGTTGTAAGTGGGGAAGTTGGTGTTCGCGTTGTTGATGAATTTGAGATGGGGATGGCACATCTTTAGAACCGGGCGATGGAGATGATTGGCTATTGTTGGATACCATAGGCATGGGTGGACTTGGCCTCATGGATAAAGGAGATTGGGTCACCGAACTGGGCCTGCTGGACATATGGTTAACGGGATAGTTCGGATGTGTTGGAGGTACGGCTGGGACCAGCGGCGTTTGAAACATTGCTGCAGATAAAGGAACGTAAACGTTGGAATAAAACAGCATAATGATAAAGTAGTGTTATATTGAAAAATGTACAAAATAAAGGCATTAAAACTGCATCGATATAAATGAATAAAGTAGTAGGAATAATTTAAATTTTTAAATTAATAAATAACGTAACTAACAAAAATTTAAAATGAAATTCATCATCTTTCTATAACTGTGCCGAGAATATACAAAAAGTTTCATCTAACTTTTTCTATTTCTGTAAGCAATTAGATCTACTGACAAGTTGGCATATTGTAAGAAAAAGAACGGTAAAAATTAAGGAAGACAAAAACTATAATCTGAATTAAATTTTCTGTTGACTGACTCGCTGGTGATTCTCCAAAGTGAGAGCTGGGAACAAATAGATTGCAATCAATCAAGTCTCGTGTGAAGAGAATTGAAAAACAAGACACGGTGTGTTTTCGAATTTTGCTTTTTTACAGAGTTAAGTAGTCTCAGATCTTCTGTCTCGATCATCTGCTCCTATCAGGAATTCGCCCGTTCCGTCTTAGTATCAATCATAGAACACTGACAGGCAATCATATAATTTCTCCTTCAATATCTTTCCGGCTAAAGGAACGTGACTTTTAGCTATTTACTAAAATATCCACTGTTTAATTTCATAGTAAAGATAGCCAATTATCTAACTGTGTGTTGGGAGTGTTATTAGAATCGACAAAAACCACTTGACTTTTTTCTTTGCAACTCGCGTTCCTATCTCTTATAAATAAGAAATATAAGCTTTCATTTACGATATTTTCGTCATTAAATAATTCTTTAACTTGTAATAAGTAGGCAAACCTGGAGTGAAAAAAGAGAATTGATAATAAACTAATTATATTCGTTGTATTTTTCAAAAGATAAACCGCCATCTCCACTTTATCAACTGTATTATGAATAATATACCACTCGAATACACTATCGAATATAAATTTCTTCGATCACCTAAAACTTCGATGGCTCAACTTTTGAGCTATTTACTTTTGACAATACTTTCTTTAATTCGTTTTCCTTCACTTTCTCCTTTCGGTTTCAATCTATCATCGACTAAATATGTTTATTTATGATTAAAATAAATTTATTTTTATTAACAGTAACAAATATATGAATTAAGCAGTTAGAATTAGAAAAAACAATAGCACATCTGGACCTCATTTGAGTTGCTAAATCGATTATGATTTCAGTAATTAATTATCACAAATGATAGACCGACTAAAGGTGTAAATTTACTAAGTATAGAATTACAAAGTAGGTTGATAGGATTATATTTTTCAAAGCAAAAAACATGAATAAATACTTTGGAACCTTTTAGTACAAATCTAAAGATTTATTAATTTTAGAAACAACGATCAATATTAGTATTAGTAATTGTGACTTTTGTAGAGGAGTTATATGCAAAAATATTCCTATAGTCGAAGAATTTGCTAGTGATGCAAATATTTTTCCTTTTGTTGTTTCGTGTCATTATTTACTGTTGCAAATGAACTCACTTAACTTTGTCCTCACTTAACAACGACTGTGTTTTGATAGGACGGAACACCAGACGTCCAATGTACGGAACGTAAATTAATCTCCTCAATCACCAGTTTGTTGGAAGATGAAATTTCTCTATATGATAACAACGCAGACGGTGAAAAACAACTCGAGTGGTCTGTTTATATTCGCGTAGGAACAAAAAAACACAATCAAAGAAACGCTTTTTTTGTTAAATTCCTCTTAAAAAGTAAGCTACCTACCTGGGTTATTGACCCATTCTTGTAAGGCTTTCTGCAACCGACGAACGTGCAGAGGTTTACTGGCCATTCCGACAAGTGCCATGATTTCCAGAAATTCCTCTTCCCCAGCTTCACAAAGTTGCTGAACATCGTCACCACCTTTTATTTATTTATTTTTTGTGTAAAAAAATGAATTTGTAGCAAATAAATAAATATACAGTTAAATTTAATTGCATAATTAATATCAGACAATTCTACTTGTTTATATTGTGAAATCACAAATAGCTTATATCATTTACTTTTAAACCAGTTGTCTAGCAGCTGCATACAATAACGATTAGGACGAATTATTGCATCTGTTATAAAAGTAAAAATACTAAAGCGTCTAGACATTAGCGTGCTGATATAAATTGATTGGGAATAATATGAAATTCTTTCATTGATGAAAATAAAAGTAAACTTGTAAATAATTTCGAAACAAAATGACGGCGTGAATTCTATTCTTGCAGTAATCCATAGACCAAAAAGAAAATAGTGTAGATACAACAGGTTAAACTTATCGCTACTTACAGCTCTTTAATATAACTGTCTATTGAATTATGTAGCACTATCAGTAATGCCCGATAATTCAGAGACGACGGAAAACCTATTACACCGACATCATAATTTTACCTCGGCTCAAGAGTTTAGTGAGTATTGAACGCTTTGCTGGTTACGAGACCAACAACCGTTTTCCTGTGATCGTTTATAAACACTTATTTAATTTAAACAGCTTTATTTTACATAAATAATAATTAGAAAAATTATCCTTTAAATAATTTCAAAATGTGAAAATTTTATTCTAAAGCAAAAATACAAGTTACTAAATAGTAACACTGAAAATGCGGACGGTTTAAACAATAGCTAACACACTACAAAGATAATTAATTATCCCTGTAGTAGCTAAAGCTTTGTTTTCAAAATCGCCGTTTTAGAGGTTTCCAAAGTTTTGTAGATTTTTAGATAAGCTTCTGGATGACTCTATTCAGACATTTTATTACTTCCATTATCTAATAAAATATAATTTTAAATAATTTTAAAACCCTACGCAATGAATTCTTAAGTAATGACAGACGTTGTTTGTTTTAAAAATCTTAAAATATGATGTAAAACAATTTGAAATTTTATACTGAATTTGTTAATAAATCTTAACCAAATGCTATTTAACTATTATAATTTATAATTAAAATTACTTATAAAATTAATTAATATAATTACAATCTAATAAATTTTCTTAGTTAACTATTAAATATTAAACTTTTAATAAGAATTTTTGTAGTATTCCCACAAGATAACAAATGGTACAACAGTAACTCAGGTTCTACATAAAAATTCTCGATAGATTAGGAAGAACTCGTTCATTTATGGAAACGACATAATTATTTAGTAAATATATACTGTATAATGTGGAATGTTGATTTATCGATACTTTTCACTTTTTTTCAGTTTTTTTTATGACAGGGTCATTTAGTTGTTAGCAAGAAATGAGTAGTTTAAAATACAAAAGAACCAAGGGAGGTTACTTTGTAAGATCTAGAGGAAACCTGGCAAACAATCACCTAAGAACTTAAGAAAAAGTGAGAATAGCGATTGAGATTGTTATGAGGGGAAAAAAATGTTGATGAGGTCAACTGTTCCTTGAAACTCGTGAGTCGATGGGGAAATTAATAACGCGAGTTTGACTATCGAAGACGACAGTTTTTAGTGGATAGACTAAAAACCTTTATCTTCTTTCGTCACTTTTTCAAACACCAATGGCTCATATTCTTCTTCCTTTTAAATTCAATAATTACTATGGCGGTTAATTAACGCCAATGTTCATCAGGATTCCAAGTTCATCAAAGGAGAACTATACCTCTGCCAGAGCTTAATAAATGACTGTCTTAATCTCGGTATACATCATTCATAATTAACCTGACTCGAGAAACTTCGGCGAAATATTGGCCATTTTGGCTTCCTTTTTTTACCTTCACGATTAGTTTTTTTCTTTAAACAAATTTAAGAAAATTTTATTTTAAAAAATAACAAAAAAATTCCCTGCCAAAATAACAGGAGAAGCACTTAAAGTGCGAAATAGTTTACCACACTCGCATATTAGGTAAGGGGGTATCTTATTCATCACGTTTTCCATTGTTTGTAGGATGTGCAGCATGGCAGTCGGGGCAATGATTAAATGAAGAGAATGAGCCGACATTGCTTCCACTGAAGAACGGAGTAATAGAGCGCTAATTTAAAGATTAGATTAGTGGCTTTCTGCCTGAGAGACGAAAGATATCCGATAAATAGAAAACATCAGCTGTCGCAATGGGCGGCGAAACAAGGCTTCCAGGTAAAAATAGCTTGTAAAAAAGAGCACGACGCTTCGATAAGTGATTAATTTGCACCTTAAAAATTTTCATTGACTTACCTTGACAGATAAAAGTATCATAATAGGAAAGAAGATTCGCTCTCTGAAGTACTCTATAAAGTTGCAACTCGGATTCGTTGGTAGGCTGAGATGTCATGGCTACTGTTAAAAAAATACATACATATGTATANTTAGTATTAGTATTATTATTATTGTACTTTTTAAAGTATTGATTAATCAGGACTGTCAACTTGTATATTAGTGCAAACCTACTTTATTTCTCTAAAGTTTTAGCCGGCCAGAATTGTGCTCGAATTTGTTGAGCCATAAGTTCACTAATAAATATGAAATATGTTGAATAATTTGTTTAAAGATGTTTGCGAGTCATAAAAATTCTTTCACGGGTCGGATGTGAGTCAGTTAGACGGCGTTGGATTAATTAAGTGATTCGGTCAATTGAGATCGAATCAAAAACCGATTGTGTTCAAGCCACTGTTAAAAATTATTTAATTGCATATTTTCAATATATCTGCCGCATAGACATATTAAAAGATTCAATTTAAGATTTACCAGTTACAGGCCCTACGTACCGATTGATCGTCTCGATGCAACAAAACCTGCACGGATGTCACTGACCTAACTATGGTTTATTTACCAGGAATTTACCTGTTATGCATCTATGAGTGATGTTCTAGGAAGATTCGTTTGTGAACGGAACAGGTAAGCAATACAAACAAATCCAATTTCATGTGGCATAACTGTCATTGGCATTAAAGTCAAATAGCCATCTCATAAGAAATTGATCAAATCTATGAGTTTCGTGATTATTACAAGTACAGAGGAGCTATAACGGAATGATTTTATTGTAAATAATCTCGCAAATTATCTATTTTCTGTCTTCTGTCATGTGCTTCGATGAATAACTACGGGATAGACTTAGTAATCACTATCAATGTATAATATATTTTAATATTAAGCATGTTATCAAATTGACATTAAAAGCACGGTTGCACGGACAGGTATATGTTGAGCCTCAGAATTAAGAAAGAAATTTAGCTATTGTTTTGTTTTTTCCAATGAAAAAACTAAACTATCTTCTCTTATATCTGCATAATGAGATGCTGCTGACAAAATTTTCCGGCTTTCAACCTTTTCCGAATCTAAATTTTTACTTTCAAACATAGCAAATACTGATCATTTGCAATCTTTCGTTATCAAAAATCACTACTAAATGATCGCAGAAAGGATCGTCTATTATTATAATAATTTCCATACAATATATTAAGATTTAAAAAAACAAAAGGAAGCTTGAGCTGAAAGCCAGAAGAATAATGGATCCTTAACTGTTTTAACGAAACGTTGCCTATATTATTTATCGTAACTGCTTAATTATTATTTTAATATGATTACGTTTCAGTAAGGAGATGTCCAATTAAACATGAAAGTCCAAAGAACACTCCCGAATCTCTAACAACCTTCAAGATTGATAAGTCGATAAGAACGTGATTAAGTGACCCAACATAATTACAGATACGGATTAATACAGTTCATAAAAAAGTATTTTAATTATATATAAAAATGTGTTGAAAACTTTACAAAATTAAAATTTATTATATTATTCGAATTATTGCTTATTATGCTTTTTAAATCAAATTTAATATTTTCAACTGTCAATAAAGCATTTAAACCATTTTATTTATGAGAAAAGAAATGCACTATTTTATATTCTAATATGTTTTATCCTTATTATATGAAGAAAATTATATTCTTAACATTTTCGATTCATACAATTAATTACAGAACCTATTAATAAATAGGTATATTTCATATGCTGAGAAGTTTATAATGCATAAACGAATATAAAAATATAGAATACAATATACTGTATTACTATATTTGTAAAAATTCAAAACATTACTACACTTAACCATTAAAAAGTTTACGATAAAAAATGAGTTTATTCCATTTTAATGATAAATATATTGTAGAAGGCTACTGTACTTATGATTATTGATAGGCCTGTAAATAAATATTCAGACTGTAAAGACCATAATTACATTTATTTACTATAGCTTCAATACCATTTAAAAATTTTCTGTAATGCATTTTTATTTTTGCGAATATTTTGGCGAGTGAAAAAATTCCCAAAAGGAATTATAAAAATAAAAGCAATCCATTTATATATAATCTCACATCCCGAGAGAAAGTTAAGAATTGAAGAAATGGCAGTTTTTAATTCTATGATATGGAATATTTTGCTCTTATGAAATTCCTTTTTTCCTTCCTTTTTTTTGGTCAAATCTTCTAATGCTTAAAGAAGATACTAAAAATATTTTCACATCGAAATGGAGATAATTAAGTTAGAAAACGTTTCTCTACTGGTTTTGTTTACATCTTTAATTGCTAAAAATTATACAGTGTTATACAAACCATGCGTTAGCCTATAAATTCTGCGCAAACTCGAGAATATGAAAAGTAAGCACAAACTGTATATCTATTATAATATAAAATCATTGACTTAGGCTAATAATAATGTAAAGCTTACCAACTATATATGTTATTCAAACTAATTTTCTCTCATTTTTCCACTACGTAATAAGATTTTCGAAAGAAAAAAGTATGATGCGAAACAATAGTATCGATAATGATCACTAGATGGAGTTTGATCTTGGACGAATCAAAATTGAACGATAAATCACGTGAAAAGGCAAAATTATAGGGTAAGACTTTTATAAAAGTCGTGAGCCTAGCCCATATGGCACATCTCATTAGCATGCTTAAATATGCTAATTACAGCGATGTAACCATTTCAGGTGGAGATGAGTGAGTAGTAATGTGGTTTCGATCAGCCATAAAAAGAACTCATCCTAATCATTCTCTGAAAAACTACTATTGTTCCGTCTTCTGAAATTTTCTTCCTGCAAGGCCGCACCCTGTACACATTAATAATTATTGCATTGAATAACTCACACCTCTCATTTCACGTTACAAAGAAGATCACGCAAAGGATCCTTTCGAGTCCTTACCATCACAAAAATCCAATCATAGCTACACATAGCTTCACAGAGACAATGAAGATCAGATAATCTAATCTAAGAAAGTGTTTAGGTTTTTGGCTCGTATCCTTTTACTCGATCGTCATCTATTTTGAAATTCAGCGCATTCGTTTATCATATTGCAGTCAAATTAATACCTGAATGTAGCCTTTTATACGCTATGCTCTTATTTAAATATTTTTGTCTCTATCTATAGACCCGCATTCACTCTATATCTGTCGACCCCATATTCGTGAAGTGATAAACTAACGAACTAATCCATCCGTACAACAGATGAATATCCAAAATGTAACGTGCTCATTGTCTGCTCGTCACTTGTTTTGTCAATTTAATAGCTTTCACATATCGCAACTCATACAACGCTATTGTCTAGAATATTTTTGTTTGTTTATTTACTTTTTTTGAGCTGTCTGCCTGCTGTCTGATAGGCCTACATTGGACTTCAACCATCAGCTACTTGACCACGGGTCGACGCGTTCTATTGCTCAAGCGAGAATCTCAGTCGCGTGCTGAGTGCTGACAGGAAGAGATGTCAAGGATTCGGACAACTAACTATTTTTAATGACTTTCTCTATAACAAAAAACTATCAAACTACCCTATACAAAGATCATTTTTATTATCTAATTCTAATATATATATATATTAGATGCTTTCTAACAGCTTGTTTCTACTCAAAACCATTTAACAAAACACATTGGCATAGAATCGATTCAGTACAGCTGAATGAAAGAAAATGAAACAGCTACTCTGTCTATCAGAGACAATTTGTTACTGTAAGGTGTCTGAGTTAAGAGGCAATTAATAACAGAGTAGCTAAGATTGATGTTCGATGTTGTAAAATACCTTTCTTCCTAATTAACATTTTCCTAGAAGGTTTTTAAAAAATCGACAATACCGAAACGTCATCATTGTCAAAAACTACTCACCTGTTGTAAGTGGGGAAGTTGGTGTTCGCGTTGTTGATGAATTTGAGATGGGGATGGCACATCTTTAGAACCGGGCGATGGAGATGATTGGCTATTGTTGGATACCATAGGCATGGGTGGACTTGGCCTCATGGATAAAGGAGATTGGGTCACCGAACTGGGCCTGCTGGACATATGGTTAACGGGATAGTTCGGATGTGTTGGAGGTACGGCTGGGACCAGCGGCGTTTGAAACATTGCTGCAGATAAAGGAACGTAAACGTTGGAATAAAACAGCATAATGATAAAGTAGTGTTATATTGAAAAATGTACAAAATAAAGGCATTAAAACTGCATCGATATAAATGAATAAAGTAGTAGGAATAATTTAAATTTTTAAATTAATAAATAACGTAACTAACAAAAATTTAAAATGAAATTCATCATCTTTCTATAACTGTGCCGAGAATATACAAAAAGTTTCATCTAACTTTTTCTATTTCTGTAAGCAATTAGATCTACTGACAAGTTGGCATATTGTAAGAAAAAGAACGGTAAAAATTAAGGAAGACAAAAACTATAATCTGAATTAAATTTTCTGTTGACTGACTCGCTGGTGATTCTCCAAAGTGAGAGCTGGGAACAAATAGATTGCAATCAATCAAGTCTCGTGTGAAGAGAATTGAAAAACAAGACACGGTGTGTTTTCGAATTTTGCTTTTTTACAGAGTTAAGTAGTCTCAGATCTTCTGTCTCGATCATCTGCTCCTATCAGGAATTCGCCCGTTCCGTCTTAGTATCAATCATAGAACACTGACAGGCAATCATATAATTTCTCCTTCAATATCTTTCCGGCTAAAGGAACGTGACTTTTAGCTATTTACTAAAATATCCACTGTTTAATTTCATAGTAAAGATAGCCAATTATCTAACTGTGTGTTGGGAGTGTTATTAGAATCATCGACAAAAACCACTTGACTTTTTTCTTTGCAACTCGCGTTCCTATCTCTTATAAATAAGAAATATAAGCTTTCATTTACGATATTTTCGTCATTAAATAATTCTTTAACTTGTAATAAGTAGGCAAACCTGGAGTGAAAAAAGAGAATTGATAATAAACTAATTATATTCGTTGTATTTTTCAAAAGATAAACCGCCATCTCCACTTTATCAACTGTATTATGAATAATATACCACTCGAATACACTATCGAATATAAATTTCTTCGATCACCTAAAACTTCGATGGCTCAACTTTTGAGCTATTTACTTTTGACAATACTTTCTTTAATTCGTTTTCCTTCACTTTCTCCTTTCGGTTTCAATCTATCATCGACTAAATATGTTTATTTATGATTAAAATAAATTTATTTTTATTAACAGTAACAAATATATGAATTAAGCAGTTAGAATTAGAAAAAACAATAGCACATCTGGACCTCATTTGAGTTGCTAAATCGATTATGATTTCAGTAATTAATTATCACAAATGATAGACCGACTAAAGGTGTAAATTTACTAAGTATAGAATTACAAAGTAGGTTGATAGGATTATATTTTTCAAAGCAAAAAAAATGAATAAATACTTTGGAACCTTTTAGTACAAATCTAAAGATTTATTAATTTTAGAAACAACGATCAATATTAGTATTAGTAATTGTGACTTTTGTAGAGGAGTTATATGCAAAAATATTCCTATAGTCGAAGAATTTGCTAGTGATGCAAATATTTTTCCTTTTGTTGTTTCGTGTCATTATTTACTGTTGCAAATGAACTCACTTAACTTTGTCCTCACTTAACAACGACTGTGTTTTGATAGGACGGAACACCAGACGTCCAATGTACGGAACGTAAATTAATCTCCTCAATCACCAGTTTGTTGGAAGATGAAATTTCTCTATATGATAACAACGCAGACGGTGAAAAACAACTCGAGTGGTCTGTTTATATTCGCGTAGGAACAAAAAAACACAATCAAAGAAACGCTTTTTTTGTTAAATTCCTCTTAAAAAGTAAGCTACCTACCTGGGTTATTGACCCATTCTTGTAAGGCTTTCTGCAACCGACGAACGTGCAGAGGTTTACTGGCCATTCCGACAAGTGCCATGATTTCCAGAAATTCCTCTTCCCCAGCTTCACAAAGTTGCTGAACATCGTCACCACCTTTTATTTATTTATTTTTTGTGTAAAAAAATGAATTTGTAGCAAATAAATAAATATACAGTTAAATTTAATTGCATAATTAATATCAGACAATTCTACTTGTTTATATTGTGAAATCACAAATAGCTTATATCATTTACTTTTAAACCAGTTGTCTAGCAGCTGCATACAATAACGATTAGGACGAATTATTGCATCTGTTATAAAAGTAAAAATACTAAAGCGTCTAGACATTAGCGTGCTGATATAAATTGATTGGGAATAATATGAAATTCTTTCATTGATGAAAATAAAAGTAAACTTGTAAATAATTTCGAAACAAAATGACGGCGTGAATTCTATTCTTGCAGTAATCCATAGACCAAAAAGAAAATAGTGTAGATACAACAGGTTAAACTTATCGCTACTTACAGCTCTTTAATATAACTGTCTATTGAATTATGTAGCACTATCAGTAATGCCCGATAATTCAGAGACGACGGAAAACCTATTACACCGACATCATAATTTTACCTCGGCTCAAGAGTTTAGTGAGTATTGAACGCTTTGCTGGTTACGAGACCAACAACCGTTTTCCTGTGATCGTTTATAAACACTTATTTAATTTAAACAGCTTTATTTTACATAAATAATAATTAGAAAAATTATCCTTTAAATAATTTCAAAATGTGAAAATTTTATTCTAAAGCAAAAATACAAGTTACTAAATAGTAACACTGAAAATGCGGACGGTTTAAACAATAGCTAACACACTACAAAGATAATTAATTATCCCTGTAGTAGCTAAAGCTTTGTTTTCAAAATCGCCGTTTTAGAGGTTTCCAAAGTTTTGTAGATTTTTAGATAAGCTTCTGGATGACTCTATTCAGACATTTTATTACTTCCATTATCTAATAAAATATAATTTTAAATAATTTTAAAACCCTACGCAATGAATTCTTAAGTAATGACAGACGTTGTTTGTTTTAAAAATCTTAAAATATGATGTAAAACAATTTGAAATTTTATACTGAATTTGTTAATAAATCTTAACCAAATGCTATTTAACTATTATAATTTATAATTAAAATTACTTATAAAATTAATTAATATAATTACAATCTAATAAATTTTCTTAGTTAACTATTAAATATTAAACTTTTAATAAGAATTTTTGTAGTATTCCCACAAGATAACAAATGGTACAACAGTAACTCAGGTTCTACATAAAAATTCTCGATAGATTAGGAAGAACTCGTTCATTTATGGAAACGACATAATTATTTAGTAAATATATACTGTATAATGTGGAATGTTGATTTATCGATACTTTTCACTTTTTTTCAGTTTTTTTTATGACAGGGTCATTTAGTTGTTAGCAAGAAATGAGTAGTTTAAAATACAAAAGAACCAAGGGAGGTTACTTTGTAAGATCTAGAGGAAACCTGGCAAACAATCACCTAAGAACTTAAGAAAAAGTGAGAATAGCGATTGAGATTGTTATGAGGGGAAAAAAATGTTGATGAGGTCAACTGTTCCTTGAAACTCGTGAGTCGATGGGGAAATTAATAACGCAAGTTTGACTATCGAAGACGACAGTTTTTAGTGGATAGACTAAAAACCTTTATCTTCTTTCGTCACTTTTTCAAACACCAATGGCTCATATTCTTCTTCCTTTTAAATTCAATAATTACTATGGCGGTTAATTAACGCCAATGTTCATCAGGATTCCAAGTTCATCAAAGGAGAACTATACCTCTGCCAGAGCTTAATAAATGACTGTCTTAATCTCGGTATACATCATTCATAATTAACCTGACTCGAGAAACTTCGGCGAAATATTGGCCATTTTGGCTTCCTTTTTTTACCTTCACGATTAGTTTTTTTCTTTAAACAAATTTAAGAAAATTTTATTTTAAAAAATAACAAAAAAATTCCCTGCCAAAATAACAGGAGAAGCACTTAAAGTGCGAAATAGTTTACCACACTCGCATATTAGGTAAGGGGGTATCTTATTCATCACGTTTTCCATTGTTTGTAGGATGTGCAGCATGGCAGTCGGGGCAATGATTAAATGAAGAGAATGAGCCGACATTGCTTCCACTGAAGAACGGAGTAATAGAGCGCTAATTTAAAGATTAGATTAGTGGCTTTCTGCCTGAGAGACGAAAGATATCCGATAAATAGAAAACATCAGCTGTCGCAATGGGCGGCGAAACAAGGCTTCCAGGTAAAAATAGCTTGTAAAAAAGAGCACGACGCTTCGATAAGTGATTAATTTGCACCTTAAAAATTTTCATTGACTTACCTTGACAGATAAAAGTATCATAATAGGAAAGAAGATTCGCTCTCTGAAGTACTCTATAAAGTTGCAACTCGGATTCGTTGGTAGGCTGAGATGTCATGGCTACTGTTAAAAAAATACATACATATGTATAAATATATATAAATTAAATTAAATAGCATATATAACAAAACAAAACTTAAACTTCGAACTTAAAATTATAATTCGAATTTTAAGTTTTATTTGAACTCTACTATTTTCCAATAAAGATTTAAATAAAAATACTTACTATTTTGCTAATTAAATTATAATAGAATATGGGAGTTCGCCACCCCCGCTCACTTCGCATGCTGGCCCCACGGGCTTCGCCCACTCATTCCCAATACAGACTATATTATACATAACAAAAATTTCGTAACGATTCATCGATTCCTGGTGCGCCTTTTTTTTTCTTGCTTTTTTTTCTTTTTGCCAAAAAAACGTTTTTGACGATTTTAAGTTAAATTTTTACTTTATGTAGGCTATATAGAATATATTTTTAACTATCTTAAATAATATATTTCACATATGGATATTATCTGATAAATTTTATCTGTTAATTTTACTGTGATTATGAAAAATCCGGATATCTCAATACATTAAAACTCGCGTAAAGGAAATAACAAATTAGAAAAAATAATACTAATTATAAACACACTACACAATTTTATGTCATAGATTTTTTGAAAATCCAGGAAGATCACAACGATTATCAGTTACGCTACTCAATAAATTATCAAAAAATGTTATTGAAGATAATTTCATTTTGAATTTATAATAAAGAAAGAGACTATAGTCTATAGTTTATTAGTATATTTATTTATTATTTCTACAATTTACTAGTATCTCATATATACGAAGACGTAAAATTTTAACAAAGTAGTTAGTGAAATCCGGAATTTACAGCATCACTACTTTCTCTGACTATTAAAAAAAACCCTCCGAAAATTAAGTTTTAATAACGAAGACGATAATTTCAACAGGGAAGTTAATTTAATAAATAAGTGATAACCGAACAGCGTGGCGCACCGAAAAGAATGTCACCCGACGAGAGTTCAGACGAACGAACAACCCCCATCCGAGAAAAATTGACAGATCGAAGATACATACGAGTTGACATCACGACTAATAAATACACTAGCAATAAAGTGTCACTCAATTCGTATATTAATAATGCCTTAGCCAGATATCTTGACTGATAGTCAATTATAATGACGTGGAAGTTATGGTAATCATAATTTTCTAAACACTTCATTTTAATTAAAGTTTTATTTCTATATAACGAAACTCTCCAAAAGCTGCTAGCAAAAGCTACTTTCTTTCGGTTTCTGTTAAGTGGTTACTTTTAAAGTACTCGAGCCAACTTGATTTATTCAACAGAACATGGCCTGACTCCGTATCGGCGTATAGTGCGCTTTAAAAATGCAAAATCTTTTAATGACAGATAATGATCTACACTTAATGACTCGGACATGCCTTTTGAAAAGATTATGAATAGTTAGTAGTCCCATATTACTGTTTATCATTCTCCTGTGATAAACTATAAGGATCAATATGTTTGTTTATCGATTAGGTCTCTGTCTGTGTTTACTAAACACATTTATCGTTTAATTTCGTTTACAATTAATTTTCTCCGTACGAAATCACATATAGCCTATATGTTATGGCATTAACATTCACAGTACCGAATTAAAACAGTTATTTACTTCAAACTTGTAAAAATAAAAATGTGATTAATTTATTTATTTCTGGATATTACTGTACTATAATTAAATCTATTAACGTTATTTTTTGAAATAAATTCGTTTTATAAAAGATTTTAAATGTATATTGGCTTATTAATATCGATAATAGGTTAATATAACAAACAGAAATAAAATAATGTAAAGTTTTTTTCCCTGTATAAAAAATTGTTCTTTGTTTCTAGTAGAAATTTCTATTTAAATAATAAAATTTTCTTGGCTGCGAAGATTCATTAAAGTGTAAATTATCCAAAACTTTCATTAACCAAATTTTAGGATTATATTCTTTTCTTTACTCCTACTAACAATTTAGCTAATAAATGAGTTATTAACTCCGAGTGACTTTCTTCATCCTTATTTTTATTTTATTTGACTTTTTTTAAACAGAGTCTCCTTAGTATTTTTTAAACTCTTTTATTCATTTGACCTTTTATGAAAACGTAGCCATCTGTTAATCCTTCTTTGACTTATAAGGGACTAGTTTTGAAACGTATATTTTTCTGACTAGAGTCTCTAACGTTTAATCGCATTTTAAATCAAGTATATTAATATTACTTGTATATAATTTTATACGTATTATTAATTACCGAAAGCGTTAACAGAAATACAAACTAATTTAATGGGGGATCGTATCGAAGTAAATCATTACCATTCCTCGTTTGAAATGTCTCTTATCGAGATAACAACCTGTATGTGTATATAATGAGTACATAAAAAGTTTACAGGATTTATCGGAAGTAGAAATACAGCTTCGAGAGCCCCGGATCTCAACTGCTTGATCCCAGCCCAATGACAGCTAAAAATACAGCGTACATGCAGTGTGAGTAGAATTGTGTCGGTCGGGAAGGGGGGAGCTGGGGGAGAACAACACGCGATTTTTTTCTCATCCGTCCATCTACGACACCCACCTTCTGCAACGTATGGGAGGAACCGACCAAGGTAGACTGTTGAACGTGCACAGGTAGTAACGACGAAAACTTATTTTTCCATTCACAAATCGCTTTCACCCACAAATACTTGAAAGTGACAATGTTAATAGTGAATAATTTAGTATAATAAATCAGGTTTGGGAATAAAATGTTCTTCGTTCCTTTTTTCTTAATGCGTCACGTGTCTACTTACCGAGAGATGGATAGACACTTCGACGTTCAAAGAAATAATAAGTCTAATAAAAAATCTATAACCTTATATTACTACTAGACTAATAATTATTGTTAGCGTATATATTAAAATTACATTTAAAATAACCAAGACTTGCTATTTGATATATTTTTCTATATATATTATATATTAAAATTTAAAAAATTATCCCTGAAAAAAATGATTGATTTTGATAAGTTATCGACGTTTACTCAATCGTCGTCCAACAGTAAAATATGGAAAGTAGAGCAAATGCGGGAGTTGGTAATCAGGAGAGAATGATAAAAGAGCTATTCTTGCTGCTCGAGTTCTATTTAACAGTTTAATCTATCTTTTGCCTGTCTAATTTCCGTCTAATCAAAGACATAAACATATACAACGGATGCTTAAGACCTCTTATAAAAGAGTCTCAATTGCGTATTGTTTGGTAATTCATAATTGCTACTATTCTGTGATAAAATAGATAAAAGTGCCACCCGTCAATGCCCAAACGGTGGCTTGGCATGTACTTCTTTAATTACCACCATTACGAAAATAACACAATTTTATTTCGTAATCCTATCATTTTTCTTGTCTTTTCTACTGGAAAAGACTAAACAGCGTAAGCAGACAAATCTACTGTATTGATTTTTATCCTGTATGTCTGGGTTGTTGACGTCACCAGTCTGTAGGTTCATATTTATTTTATTACTTTTTCCCCCGTCAGTGAGCGATTGGCCAAAACAAAAATATATTCTTTAACGAGAGAATGTTAATAATCAAATTAAATCTCTAACGTCTAAATGCGGTTTTAACAACCGTGGCGAATTTCGATAGAGAAAAAGTACTTTAAACCAATGCGATCAATCTGTTGCTCTCGCTTTCACTTCATTAATTCTCATCAGTAGGAAGAGACTTAGAGACTTCACGAGGTGAGTACGAAGCGTCCGACTTGTCTTCGGTACGATCAATACGTAGAACTTTAAATGAGACATTGCATTCGCGAACAGAACAATTGCTCCATCCCCTATTTCTAAAGCTCCGACTTGTTAAAAAAAGAAAATTAAATTCCTAGTAAAATTTGGCGCTTGAAAAAAAGCCCGCAATAATACTACTATTCGAATCGATATTAATATTCATTATTTAAAAACAAAATAATTAATACAGTCAGACATATTTCCCATGTATCACCCTTCGGAAATAATCAACCGCATTTACTTATCGTTCGCGTATTTCCTCGTAGACATACGAACCTCCGAGTCGATTAAACCGACACCACCTGCTGTCACGTGACCCTTCGCCCGAAGGCCAGGGATCACGTGACCAAATACATTCCAAGTATAAAAGCTATCTTTTTCTTTTTACCACGTACATGTAAAGCTGGCAAACTTCTTTCCCTTTTTTCATGTCTGGTGGAACACAACTTTTGTCATTTAACGCCAGTCATGTTGACGTCAATTTTCGGTTGGTATATTTTTGGGCGTGGATTTTTCTGGCGTCGTTTAATGCCTGATTATTGCATGAATAAATGTGAGTTTTAAGTACAGGAAATCAAAATTCTAGCAGCAAAATAACATTGCACGATAGACGAAACGTTGTTTCTGTTATGCAGTTCCGCATTCGCCCGGCATTGAGAACCTTGACTTTAAGCAACTGTACTTTAAATAAATTTTTAATTATACATAAAATAATGATTAATGGAAGGCTGCAAATTGATTTTTTTCTTCTCTACTTGGAAAGTATCGCGAGGAAGTTATAGGAAGCCAGCGTGGCGGTTTTTAAGTTAATTCTATGGTTGTCGTCTAGAAGTCAATGTCTGTCATCAAGTCAGATGTGAAGATGTTAGACTAATGATTGCCTCTTAAGAAAATTACACACTGTGGCATTTCTCACGCAGAGATTCTTTACAAAGAAACCAGAATATTTTCATTATGTAGAGAACGATAATAGTCGCACATAAATATATGCATAAGTTATGCTTTAATAATCAACTACTTTTCATTTTGGAAATGTTTTCAAACAGCGGGATGCTGTTTTCAAATCGCCGAGACGGGGGACGGTATTTTAATTATGGATGTTACTACGCTTATTTAGAGTAATTATTTGTCCAAAAAATCCCCCATTCAATTTTAACCGAACCCGTGACATCCACCCCGAAAAATAAACATATTCAAACTAAGGTAGTTAATGAGAAACGGGTATAAAAAAAACCCCCAATATCTACAA